CAACTTTATATAAAGAGCTGGACGATATTATAATTATATTTCGCAAAAAAAATCTAAATCAAAATACAGGCCACATATAAGATCATAACATAATATCATATATATCCAACTTTATATATAGACCTGTGTGATAATAGTTAAAATTTTTGTGATGACAAATGCAACCTTGAATCAAAATACATTTTAGCAAAAAGCAAAATGATACAAAGATATCTTATATTCTGAACAATTTATTAAAATTAAGTGGCTATGCTTGAAGCAAAGTAAAAAATATCTGCCAATGTGGTCAGAAAAGTTATTTAAGCAGGTATTTTTTCTTGTTTAAAGCATAAATTACTTAATTTTGATATTTTTTTAAACAAGAATTAATATCTTAAGTCATTTTGTTTCTAGAAATGACTAGAAAAAGGAGACAAAAATATTGAGTAAGAAGTTTTTTTTTTTTTTTTTTTGCAATGCTGAAGTGATGCAATCACCAAAAAAAAAAAGACTACACACCTGTTAAACAAACTAGATCACCTCTACATCTCTATGATTATTCTGGTCTGTAGAAATCATTTGCTTTATTGCTCACCAGGAAAACTTCTTGCATAAATAAATAAGCATGTAATATATAATAACAGCACACACACCTCTCCTTAACAAGACACATGATTTACTGCAGGACGAGTTACACACTAAAGTAGGGCTGGGCGATATAGCTAAAAAATTTATCAACGATATAATGTTTCATATCGTTTTGTTTCGATAATTATTGACATTTTTTAAAACAAAACATGTTTAAATTTAACCACTGTATTTATAATTAACACAATGTATTGAGACAAACAACAAATATTTTTTGTTTTAACAAACACAAAAATTAAACAAATATCTAATTTCTTATGTTTTATATGCAGATTAAATAGGTCTTTATTGTATAGGTCTAATTGTCTCCCGAGGCCACAGGAGGGCGCAATGAGCAAAATAATGCAGCGCATTTAAATTGTCAACGCAAGGAAGTAACTATAAAAACGTGCATTACGTCTAAATTAACTCATAAAAATCTAATATAATTTCGTAAATTGCATAAACAATTATGAACAAAACAGCATAATGTATTTATGCATTGCTTAATCCAAAAAGCCGAAGCGCCAATCACACAGACTGCATTTAAAAACATAAGAGACGCAGTGAAAAG